ATAGAAACACGAATTGTTGCAAGACGGCGCAGGCGAGATAGGGAGAGCGGAATTGCGGTCGCGATAGAAGCCAGCCTGTCACGTTCACCCGCTTGCTGACCATTGTTCCTTCGATGCGACTAATTTGCACGCGAATTTGCGCGTTGTTACGTAAATGAAGCCTACGAGAAACCGTCAAATTACTCGGCAGTAAATCATCTTCGAATTCGCGACAAGAGGCTCTCGTCGCTGGGGATGATCGACCCCGATGGAAATTAGAGATGGTTCGAACAGAAAATAATGTCACCGGTTCAGCTGGCGGGTTCTTTGTTCACCGATGACTTTTCGGATCTCCACGGATCCGGATTTTTCTTCGTCGACGTTCGTTCGGGATAATGCCAACTGAAAAGCACCATTCAGTCTGGTAGACACGCTGGATGCATCGTCTATTCAGATTTACACGTTACGTATAAAGCGTATGCACGGAGGACTTGCATACTCCGGTGATTCGTCGAGTAGTCGGAGGATCAAACGCCATAATACTTTCTCGTAGGCCTCCTATCCCTTTCATCTTGGAAAAGAATCGGTTCGTTTTGTCCGAATTAATCTTTAAAACGGTCTTCGCCGTTTTAACGGTGTATGCGGTTCGTTAACCGTAACGCGTAGCACCTACCATGGAATACATATGAAGCGCCATCGAAATTGATTATTTCCAGTCCAGCGATTTCTATACTTTGAGCGAGTTTTTGCAAATGACGTACATTTACGCAGTGCGCGTTACGCGAAATTTACGAGCGTGACTAGCTTTTATCTCGAATGTAATTCGCGTTGTACGAGGCGTGGCGCAATGAGTCCGTTAAGTTTGTAATTAGCGCCGTTAAACGCGCAAAGTTCGCGTAATTTAATTGGTTACTCGATCGGTCGCTCTCGTGTCTTTGTCGATCAAAAATCACTCGATCGAATCTTTCGATGTATACATCTCGTAAAGTTTAAGTACTCGTTTCCCCGTTTTTACTCTTTGAAAACGCGTCGATCGATATCGGCAAGGAAACGGTTGATCAGGGTCAGTGCAGTTTGCTGTTCGCTGAAAAGCGTGGCTGAAAGTCGAGACGCGAAAGGGGCTCTGGGAAAAGTTAATTATAAAGCAGTATCGAAGATCAAAGTGAATGCATCCGGTGCACTCACGAAATTTATTCCGTGGAATGGTCGACAGATTTGCCGAGTATCGGCCAAATTAATCTACAATTTAATTAACCAACGATAGGAAGCCGGTGACCTCGCGTATTTGCTCCGCTGCCAAAAAGGCTCGTTAGACAAACCGAAAAAATTCTTGTAAATTTCGAAGACGTCTTATTACCGATCTTGGCTCGAAAACCGCGCAACCTATCAATTTCAACCCTTTAACGATATCGAGCCAAACGATTAGCGAAACAGCCTCGTTTATCATCCAACGACAAAGAAATTAAAATCTAAGTTTTCTCGTTAAAATGCATCGATATCGGCCCCGTTATTTACCAGTCACGACTCGTGTTTTCAATTTCGCTATTAGAACAGACAACCACGAATGTCGTTACTCCGGCACCGGTTTAACGAACCTAACGGAATTAATGTCGAGAAAGTTTCTTATTAAACGCGGCAGATGCCGCGATCGCGTTTAGCTGGCGCAGCAGTTAGCGGGCCGAAAGACCGAAGTCGAGTTCGATTATGCAAATCGGGCCGTAGCGATCCTCGTGAAACAGCGTTACGTAAGAATTACCGAAAACCATAACGGTCGGATGTTCTACGAGGCGAAAGAAGGAACTTCGAAGCCGTCCCTCGTTTCATCCGCTTGTAAAACGACCACGCCGAGAATCGTCCTCGTCCCACACGGCAGGCGAGTTAAGCTGATATATTCTCCGAAGATGCATGACGTACCAGGATGGCTGACAGATACTCTGAGAACACCGGCGCCACCGTGAATGTAAATTTTCATTAAAATCTCGGCCCACGAGTACCCGCGTTCCTGTGGTCCCGCAATTTCCACGCCTGATTACGACCGACCGACAGACGTTTCGTTGATTGCACAAACTCCTGGAATCTTTGTCTTTTGCGTTTCCCAACAAACGTATTGTTTTGCATCTCTTTCACCAATTTGAAAATTTGTTCGTATAAAGCGAGAGAGCTGGAATCAAAGAGTTGCACAAATGTGACTCGTATTACGAATTCGGAGAATCATCGTTTTTTACGACGAGCATTATGCTTTGTTCTCAAAAATCCGAGTCTGTTCCACGTAAAATTATATTAAATTGGAGAGGATTTTTTCTGGAATAGCTAATAGGCACTTTGAAAGCGTACGTTTCGTAAGAAGTGGATTTCATCGGTTTGAGAATGCCACGAATACGTAGATAAATTCTGTTCGACTACCTAGCGCGGACTTTGTTCGATCCAGAGACTCTTAACGAGAGAGAGGTTTGCCTCAGAAATAATTTCCAGGTCGAAGACGTCAAGTTCATTAGATATTCTCGGTAGTTCCAGTGCTACGAAGAAAATGAAAGATGGCGATAAAAGAGGTCGCAAAAGAGTACGGTGTTACCGCTCTTGTTCCCGTGGAGACGGTGAACTTCCGTGGCAGAAGTCTAATAAATTAACCAGGGACCGCGTTTTAGGCATTCAGCCGTCACAAAAGAAGCTCCTTCCGAGACGTGTCTCATTGAAACTCGCCGTAATCGCTTTTCAATCCGATTAATAATTTCGTTTCGTGCCGCTTGTTACGCCGCCGTCGAGTTGAAGTTGGGCTCGAGTTCCAGTTCATTATACGAGCCGAAGCGTGCACGGTAAGGGTGGCGTGCATCCTGCGACGATGCTGCCACGATCGCAGGAGTGTCCTCGAGGCAGCCGCAGTGCAGTTGCAATTTCAATGCGCCCTGCCAATTAATGCGAAGTCGTGTTCGAACTACCGATGCTTCGTGTTAACAACGTTCCGACACGGCCATCGAGTGCCAATTACCGACATTAAACGTCCAACAAAATCGTAACGTTATTACGAAATATTTTTTCCGATATCCCAACTTTTATCGGTCACGATTTACCGCGGTATCGCGTCGCTGTTAATTTTATTTGTTAGTACGAACTCCGGAGTCTATGCTTTTCGCGAGCGTTTTCATATTTTCTGCGAGCTCTACATAATACTTTGGCCCCGTTGCGCTCGCCACAGAGTAGCCGGGTAACTACTTCTTTACGTTTCGGAAGTTCCGTTTAACGAGGGCTTGTAACGTTTTTAGCGAAAATTTACGCGCGTATAGCGCAGTCGAAAACGAGGATACAGGAGAGAACGAGCGTCCCAGGAAAATTGGAGAGCACGAGGTTACCGCGCTCTAGGCAGCGCTGGCCGAATTTTCAGCCATTTTCCCGCAACGCGCGTGCACACGTTTATTACGAACTTACGCTTATGAATAATTACTGCACCGGCGGAAAACTGTTAGCGGAACAATGCAGCGTCAACTATCGGCCAAGTTTAATTATCGAGTACAGGTCCGCTTTGTAAACCGTTGTTGTGACTGCAGGTCGGTCTGCTCGGTAATTGGTTGCCCGTGGCTGCTTTGAATTCGGGTTAGATCTATCGCTAATCGTTGTCAGCCGCACGAACGGATGAAAATCAGTTTCGATATCCGGTTCGGTACACGGATAGCATCGCGTTCGTCGTGGCAGGGGTTGAAACGGTTAAAGGACAAAGGATCGTGAGGATCGCGGAAAGCGAAGGGTGGGATTCGATGATACGGTCAAGCGGACAAAGACAAATTCGAGAGGGTGAACCGTGCTAGAGACGAGATACAGGGGAAACTGTCGGATTTATTTAGAGAATTAGTTGCGCGTTCCTTATCGAGCGTAAATTCTTAACACGCACCGAAAAGATCAAGCGGTCGATTAAAGTTTCAGCGCGTCGTGGAACTTTGTCGCGCGACGCAACAGCGGTAGAGGGTATAAACGAGAAAGTGGAGGGTTGGAAGACGTAGAAGGTCTGGAAAGGATGTTTCGAGTAGAATTTTACGAGCGTAAAAAGAAGGTTGGAAGACGATGTAGATGATGAACCGACGTGAAATGACCTTGAAAAAGATTTCTCTCTCGAGCATCGCGCACTTAAAGACGGTAATGACCGAGCAAGCTGCCGCGACGGAGGCGCGTAAACCGTAAGCCGAGACGCTTTCAAGAATCGCGCGACGAATCGCGAGATTCCTCCAAACGCGGCCCTTAACGCCCTCCCAACTGTGACACGGAGGGTTCTTACGACGCTCGATGTATTCTCCGGCAGGAAATGAAATTACACGGACAATTTAGAACACAGGTTTGCCTTTTTTCTGTTTCAGAAGCGAATCTCCCGGGAAGGGTAACGGCAAGAATGAACGACGCTCGCTTGGCTACTAACGTATACCTGCAGGATCGTCCCCTACGTCGGTGAAATTGAGCCGAGAAAAGTTTCGCGTTAGTTACCGTGAAAAAGGATCGACAAGGATATTTTTTCCATTCTGCCCGGTTCAATCCACCTGCGAGGCTGAGAGATCGTCGATCTGGAATTATGAAGAATTCGTTTGTTTCGGCTGGAAAATAGCTTCGAACACCTCGGTCCAAATCGCTCGGTTCTCGTCGGCCGTTTAGCGAACGGGGACGTTGAGAGAGGATCGGTAAATCGCGTTCAAAGTTAACCGATAGAGCCGACTTGTAGAAGAAGTTTCTTACCCGGTTTTCGTGTACTCGTTATCGCGTTCTTTAATTGATCGATAGGATGCCGGTGGATCCAATTAACTGGATGTCTTTAAGGAAACCGGCTTAAGTCGGTCTGGTCCAGCTAATTGCGTTCCAATCGGCCAGTGTTTCGGGTATCGTTCGTTTAGCCTTTGGAAAGAGATGCGAAAAGCGGCACGTCGGTTCGGTGTACGCTTCTCGATCGCAAGGAACTCGATTTTAGGTCCGCCGACACGGTCAAAGATCGTCTGCATCCCGAACGAAGAGATTGTCGTGTTACTCGGCAATCCGATTGGCGTAGCTTCGGTCTAAATTGAATAGCAATTGCAAATCGGACGTTGGTTCGTGTTCATCCATCGACGATACTGTTCGAGGAATCGATCGAACGACAAACGACACCGTCCGATAAGCCGGCCGATAAAAGCAGCATTTTTGGTTGTTCGAATCGCGACTCCTCGTCAAAAGTGATATGCTGTAGCGCGCGGAGACAACGTCACGGCGACAATGACGAGCGAGATGAACGCGACAAAGGTCGAAAATTCGACCAGCACGATGAATCTCGTATCTACGATATCCTCCTCGTCGCCACCTAGCGCGGTCGCAGCCGCGATTAGCGCTGGCACAGCAATTCCGACTAATCCGTCCACGACAGTAACGGGTGGAGCTGTGGTCACCAGCACGGCTAAACCTGACCATCATACCTACAACGTGACCGGCTATCTTGTGGAGCACGACGAGCTCGATCACAGTAAGTAATAAGGGGACACGCGCGTTAACCGTGCACGATCAAAGCGTAAGCTGATGCTACCTGGCGTGGCTTTGCTCCGCTGTCATCTTCAAGCGACGCTCGATATAATCCTGACATAGTTTTCAGTTTTTCCTGAAAATCGAACGTGTTCGATGATAGTCGTATCGTAGCTTCGCCTAGAATTGGCTGCACCATTTCAGCGAACAAAAACGGATTTCCATCGCAACATGGAAGCCTCCGAGAATTCCTGGAATCATAAGGGATTTCCTTTGAGAAATCGAGCAGATGATACGGTGGCTGTACCGTGGAAGAGAATGGAACGTGATTCGTTTAGAGCCTGATAGTAGACTCATCAAAGGGGCTACCCGAACAATTTTTCACGCGAAACACGGTTAGAATAATGGATAGTGGCGTAGAGGATTCGTTTTCGACTCGAAGCTATTTATTGACCAGTACTCTTTCGGAGTATTCGAATTCGGTATTATCAAGAGGATTTTAGGATCCGGTATGAACATCCCTCGGTGCCAGTACGCATTCTGTCCGCTAATGTCTAGGTTCTCTCTGCTCTTCTTCTCGAGTGTTATTTGTCTCCCAACTCGTTACCCGACTCGTTTACTAATTTTGCCTTTGACAATGTCTAGAGCGCGTAGTTTTTCCGAGACACGGCTGGATCAAAGGATAATCCGTTATCAGGATTACAGGCTGCGTGGCACGCATCCTCCGTTTTGCCAGAGCAAATCTTGCCATCCTTGTCCTTGTTCGACCGGCCGACTGCGACATCGGCTGAATACTAATCGTAACGCTGCGGTCTACCAAAGCCGGATCGATACCATCCGCGCGCTACAACCATGATATACGACCGAATTCAGTCTCCGATCGAAGCTTTTTGCTGTTAGATATTCATGTGACTCGCGAGCTACTCACGCCACCACGTTTTTTGCAATATTTATGAGAGTTACCTGCTACGCACGAAGCTGGTAAACGAACACAGACCCTTTCCCCCCCGACATATTCGACGGTGGATCTGAAAAATTGAAGAGATCGTTTTTTTTCAATCGGGAATCGCTAAACTATTTAACAACAGTTTACCTGGTCTAGTGATCTGGATTTGCCTTTATCCGAGAACTGATTTTTCAGCGAATCCTTTTCGTTCGAGGCACAAACTTCGAGGACTGTTCTTCGATAAACCGATACAATGAATATAGTCTTTACTCGTAATCGATAATTCGTAATAATTACCTTCGAAATTTCTGCCTGCCCCTTCAGCGGAACTGGGTCGTTTAACCTGCCCAAGTAACGCGAAACGAGTTTCGAAAAGTCATCCGTGTGATCCGAATCTGTCTCGAAAGAATTGTCGCTCGACGATTCGCTTCGTAATCCGCAGATCGTAAACTCGTATTCTTCTTGCTGATCGATAACGATTCTTTAAGTGCAAGTCAAGAGACATCGCATCGTCGATTAACCTGTTTCGATGTGTCCCCGTGTTGCAGATTTTCGTGAAGGTAACTCGAACCGTTGGTCGACGCGCGGCCAGTCGGAAATTCGTTCAGCTGTTTCCTCGTGTCGTTGATTCTGCTGCATGAACGGGAACAACTTCGAGGACGATTCTTGACCTCTGGCAACGAAACAATGGGAGAACTGATCGAATTCAGGGCACAGGAACCCCGGCTACACGGCAAGAAATTCACGATCCGATCGTTCCTCTTCGGCAACGGACAATCGATGCAACTGCAGTTCGATGGACCGCCATCGAGTTCGATCGTTTCTCCCGGTTCGACGACAATTTGGTCGATGTCCTGTGGACCACGGAAAATCGGATTTAAGGTGGAATAGCGCATTCCGTGCCAGGAATAGTAGCACGGATATTGCGAATCGAACAGAAAATCTACTTTTAAGTACTCATGACTGGCGTCTGCTGAAGGGTCTTTCACGGGGCTTGAATTTTATGCGGAAGAGTAATTTCAAAGTAAAAAAATATAGAATAGCTTGTTAACGCGTTCGATAATCGAAAAGGATCGTAAAAGCGAACCGGCCATCTAATTTTCACGTATCCCGTTATCGTAATCGAAGCTAAACGGCTATCATTAGTTTCGCTTAACGTCGAGAGAGTAACGTTGTAATGGAGGAATTAAAAACGCTTCACGGCAAACGTCGCTGCGCTGAAGCTCCCGTAACGAGAAGCTACTGCGAAGTTATCGGCGAAAATCGTCGAGCGTTAGCGAGCTAATGGCGTAACGAGTTTATCGATACGAACGTGCAACTCGACCGCCTCCTCGTAATCCAGGTACGGATAAAGAAATCGATGCAGATCGTAGAACCAGGGGATCGTGATCTCGTAGCGCCGACAGTTGGACTTGGCTCTCAGCAATCTTTTCAGTTCGTTCACGTACAGTCGTCGCATTTCACGAATCTTCAAGATGATCTCGACGAAAGTCACCCCCGGCAGGTTCATAGCCTGGTGAATCCGAGCGTAAGCTCGATGCCTCCACTCGCTGTCGAGATAATACCGCGTGTCTTTCTTCCACAGGCACGGTGACTTCCTGTACAGCGAAGCCAGCTTCCGAAAGTAACAGTTCATCCATTCCTGTTGCTCGATCCGCGTTCGTGACAGTCTTCTCGCGAAACACTCGTTCATCGTGCCATTCGAAATCACCCGTTCGTTATGGTTTCTGGAGCGAACGAGATCGTTGATGGATTCATTCTTTCGGGACTCATCGTTGATGGATACTGGAGGTTAGGTTAGGTCGCGTTGGGAACCGAAATATCAGGACACGTCTGAACGAATTCTTTTTCAGGAAGAAGTTTAACCGAGAATTTTGAAGGTACAAATGGTTGACGAATAATTTAAATTCACATTGCCACGTCGAAATTAGGGAAACGCGGGTTGTGCGGTGCGTTAGCAACACGCTCGCTCGTTCATTATTCTCGTTTGCATCGCTCGTGCGTTTTAATTGGTGAAATCGAAGTGGCCATGACCACGGTTTGAGCAGAATTCCAGGGCATCAACAAAGTTTAATGACTTTATTTCATGACCCGTTAAGATCGTGCTATTTCATGAACCATTATATTAGGTCGTTGCATCGTGTCTGTCACCGACCGTGCATCGACCGCTTGTACATCAGTCTATCTTTACAAAATCGTAGCGCATCGAACGAGAAATTGATGATTGGTTTTTCGCAAGAAGTAGAATTGCCACGTCGTTGAAATTAACGCGTGCAACTGTTGCAGGTATACTGGCTGGTTTCTCCGATATACAGACGGTTTTTCTAGCCTGTTTCTCGACGCTGCTGCCGTTGATCGTCGCGCTGGGAATCGCCTTTGGCGTCAGGTAAGAATACAGCTGCCCCGTGTACCTAGAAAACTACCGCAAACTTCTGCTCCGTTCTTCCGCCAGCACACTTATCGCCATAGATTTTATATTCTGTCAACTACCATACTCCATTAGAAGCGAAAAAGATGAAAACGTTCGCGAAGAAGCATCTCCCAATGCGCTGACGTTCTGTTTTATTATTTATACAAATTTGCAACTTGGTTTCGCGTAAAATTCGATCGAGCGCGCGTTACCGTTTTAATCGAGGATAATTAATCTTGCTAAATATCTGAAAGCACGTTAATAGACGGGGCCAAATATCGTGTAAATAATATAGCGGATCGATTGACCGTAAAATGACTAACCGATTTTCGATCATTTCCGTGGCAGTCATGGTGTCAATCGAATCACCCCTCGAATCGTGAATAAATGACGCACGTCGCTCGAGCTTTTCAACCCTTTCAAATAAACGTAGAAAGTTAAAACACCGAAGTTCGAGAAAGTCGATTATAGCGCGTAGGCGAATTCGCGAAGGGACACGAAACGGGATTCGGGATCTAACCGCGCAAAGAGCAGCTCAAGAAACCGTTAAGTCAGCGAATAAGTTAACGGTACAGCGACAGTCGCGTTATAACTGCGAATAAGACGACACACTGGTGGCTGTCTTACGAAAGCGAAACCCCTCGACGTTGATTAATGGAGCAATTAAAGACTTAGCTGGCCTTTATGTCGCACGCGAGTCGATCACTGTCGAAGCGACTCACGACTAATAACAACCTCCGCCATTGTCGGAAATTTCAGGCCTGATCGATCGTCGTCTTCGTTGTGCCGTAATCTCTAATCCTTCGCGATATTAAACCCTTGCGATTCCGACACCTACGCGTCCACGACGAGGGTGTCGTTAACGAAAGTGGATTTCCTCGGCCTTGGAAACGCAAACTATGATGGTCGAACCACGCGATCCCCCTACCACTCTCATGGGAAATTGAATTCTCCGCAAATAATTTCGTGGAACGTTTTCATCTTGCTCCTCTACGACATGACAAATAGCTCAATTTTTCTGCAAAGCCTGTTCCACAATAATCGAAAAGATAAACAATTACCTTCTCATTTAATTTGTATCATCTTCGAGTACCTTTCGTTTAAGATCGCCGTTTTTTGCAGCACAGGCGAAATCGTGAACGTAAAATTCAAATGTGCACGAATCCCTTAATCCTGAAAAATTAACTCTATCCTAGGTCTCCGGTGTTACAATAAGAGCCGATTCCACGGATTGCCGGAAACTCGCGGATGTTCATGGCAACCTGGGGGACCCAACTAAGTCCGTGCTATCGTTGAAATTGTAGTAACGAGCAGGGAATTGTTCCGGATCCAAATGGCAATAGAGGAACAATTTATTCGACGATTGTTTGACTACTCGCGGTTGCGTTTTCTACGTTTGCACGATATGATTGTTGCGAAATTATATGGCACTCCATTCACGGTTTCGAAATTTTCCTGTCGAAGTAATTGCCACAAACGCGTTCTAAACAATGATGAAACGTCCATTCGCAACGGGGCTATTCATACATACTGACGCCAATTAAAACGAACACGTGCTACTGATTTATTAAAAGGTCAGCCAGGTTCAGAAGAGGCGATTCGTTTTTACCCGTTTCAATTTTCCGGTCGCTCAACGTGTTCAAAGAACGGTCGCGAGGAATTATCCTTTGTAGACGGAAAAGGTTTCCGTGTTTTCTTTTCCCGATTGAAATTCTTTCTAAATAGCGGTATGTTGGCTGGGTCGAAAGTACTTGTTGCTCTCGAGACTTGAAAAAACACGGCTTTCGAATTGGTCAGAAGTTTCGAACGTACGAAAACGACGAAATTAAACGCGTCGTACAAAGAGCCGAGAGACGACCGTTTTTTCTTGTTTCGTTTCGCAGGCACGTGTGGAGGAAATATCGGGACAGACGAGACAGCTCGAGTGGATTGCCCTGGTACAGAAGTGTCTGCTCTCGAGACAATACCGCCGAATCCTTGCATCATCGACCTCACTCGGGAAGCATAACCGTTCAGTCTGCTACGAGGATTCTCTCTGCACAAGACGTGAGTACGGGTTTTACTAGCCAAATGGAAACGATTCCCTTAATTCGTTCGTGACTCGAAATCCTATTATACGAAACGATTCGCAGGAGTCACAATCTTTCTTTACTTTTTTACACCTAATACGGAATTATAAATTTCACTGTAAGATGCATGGGGTAACTTGAAATTTCCCGAACCATTGTTCGATGAGTCGTCAGGGTTTAGGTCAGTGAACACGTGGCTGACCGAGAAGTGTCCCTGACACGTTCGGAAATCGATTTTCCGTCGATAATTTGGCGGTGGTCGATGCTAATTTTGCCCAGAATCGTGAATAAATAAAATGCTCGATCCGTTCGAAAATCGAGCCGTGTTCTCGAGCGCGGAAAACATAATTCTTATGCCCCAGTTGTTACGGACCTCGAACCAGTCTACCTGGTGACTTTGGACAGCCAACGAATCGATAAATCTTTCACGTCCCCGAGTTTTCATGGTCGAAATCGTGATGAGTACAACGTCGATACTAAAATAGAGAACAATCTAACTTGTCCAACCTCTTGCTCGGACCATCGACCGTTAACGAAACCACGAGATTCGAGGGATCAAACTCCTCGACCGTCCAGGACTTTCGTACTTACAATTATGTTGGCACGAAACGCGGGGCGAAAGTGGGAAGTTCGTTTCGCCGCATATTCCGGGTTGAAAATAACGAAGAGAGGTGTCGGGCGACAGGCGATGAACGAATGGAAAGAAAAAAAAGATAATGGACAGTCCCTCGAATCGGTTGTGCTATGGGATGGACGTGACACCGTACAACGATGCGAGCGTACACTGTTTTTCCATTATGCGGCGTCAACAGCATCCACAGAATTTTTTTCTATTTGCATCGAGACGTTTCACCTCGGCATGGATGAATTTTCGCCAACGAGGGAAACAAATCTCTTTTTTCCGTTTGGATCGTTCCATTAATCATCGAGGGAAATTTTCGGAGGACGCTCGCTGGAATCTCTTCCGGCTTGGCCCCCATTATACGTCGGGTAAACGGGCGCGAAGTAACGAAGGCGTCGTGATTATAGCAGAAGTTGCGCGGCTACGCAATTATGCCCGCGGCATGGTATCTCTAAGGGAACACTCGCTAGCATAGAAAGCATCGATCCTTTGCCCGGAGTAAATCCTTAAAGGTGGGATTCCAGTCTCCTCTGTATTTTGTTTCGATCACGAGTGAACCTGGATAAATTCTTTTATCTGTCGAAAGACATAGAAGCAATTTACCGATGTTGAAGTTTTAAATCTGATTGACACGAGGTAACTTGTATCGTTCAATGCGGTTGCGCCCAGCTTTGATCGTTCGTTTTTGTCGGCTTGTACGTTCGGTTATCGTCGCTCAGGCGCCGATGCTTGAAAGAAGCGCTCGGCAACTTGAAGGACACTCGTCGATTAGGAACGATAAACGTAATCCGATATCGCGAGAGGAACACGTCGAACCGAAATTTGAAAAGTGGCGTTAAGTGCGTGTATCGTCGGCGAAAGATATCCGCGAATCGATGGCGCGTATAACGGGAGAGTGCAATGCGCCACCATCTATCGAGTGCAGCTGACACGAACGCCGCTCGCTCCGAATGAGTCGAGCTCCTATCGGACATCGATCGAATATGCAAAAGCGATCGGACCAGAAATCTACAGAGCTACGAGCGCGATGCACGCTCGCCTTTTTAACGGCGAACGCGTTGCTTCGTTGCAAACGGCTGCAAAACCGCTTTGCGAACCGCCCGTTTGCTCCACGACTTTAAGCCGAACGAACAATGTAGGTCAAATGACTCGCAGCCAGCCTCGCGTCGCTGAACACCCGGCGCGGTTCAACTTTACGACCGCGTCCTCTTCTTCTTCCCTCTCGCCCTTTGCGATGACTTTTCGTGCTCACGGCGTTCCCCTCCCGCCTTCTTCTACCGCTTCAAACATTCATACCTATATAGGACGCTCAGCCCATGCATTTTTCCTCTGACACGATTCGCGCCTCGAATAGCGCCGTTGAAACGTGCACTCTGCATCGGGGTTATCTAACGGGTTCCACGCGAATTAGAACTTGACGAACGCATGACATTCGGTGTTCGATCGTAAAATTCAGTGAGACGACGTTTATCACGTCGATCGAATACTTTTGACCAATCGCGAAAGCGATCGTATCTAGTCGCGATAACGCGATGTTAGCATCTATGTTCCTACGTTAATACCATAAATTACTTTCTCTTATCGTAGCGCGATAAAGTAATTGCGTAACGGCGATTTTATTTCGAAACGAATCAATGAAAAAGTTTTAATGCAGTTTGTCGGTGCAGCCACGCGACACACGGTAACGGAATCGTTTAAAGTGCCAAGAGTTAATTTTTAAATCCAAGGTTTAAGAATATTTTCCTTTTGCCTAACTTGTTAATTACTTGATCAAACGAAGTTTCTTGAGCTCGTCGCCGGTGACCGGTCGCCGGAGTCAACGCGTTAACGGGTTAATTCTATCGATCGACTACACGATGCACCGTTGTCACGATGCAGCGCGAACGCGATCGTTCGAGTCGAGCTGAAAATATCAAGAGCGATCGTTCTGCCGGCAGTGACCTGATTTTAATTTCACGCGTGCTCAATAGCACTCACCGGCGCTTAGACGAGTTTTCCGAGTACACCTTCCCTGCCCCAGCGTGGCGTGTTGTTTCGCTTACCTCTTCACTCTCTGTTTCCCTCTGAACGCTTGCCACGCTTTAATCACGCCGCTCGCTGACCGGAATCTAAAACGACTCTTCGTTTTTCACAGCGCTGCGCTCGATCCGGTTCAAAGATTTCTCTTTCTTGCGGGGAAATTACGAGAGTACGCGAGCTGAACAACGCTGTTCGCTCGAAATCACACGAAAACAGAGCGAAGGGAATTCTGCTGAAATATCGCTCTTTCTGCTGGAATTTAACGGTCGGAACTTTTATCGCTTCACGGTTACCGAAAGATAAAAATTATCCATTGGCGCTGGATTTTTGAAAACGGTTTTGAGCTACGGTAGTAGATACGTCGGACGAAAAACGTTGGAATCTAACCGGGCAAGCAAGCAAACGCTCGGAATACCTCGTTTTTCGTGTTGCTTTCGTAGGGAAGGCGAACACGCGACATTACGTAGTCGGGGTCAAGGAAAATGCGGTGCACCGGCTGAAATGGGAATTGCCCGCTTGGCGCCGCTTTTTCGCAGCGTCAGTGTTCTCCTCGCGTCCCTCCGCTTATGCCGGCACACCTGGACGAACAACGGGAACGATGCCGCGGGCTACTAAAGAAAAAGAGCGAGGGTTCTCCACGTGAGAGGCGTCTCGTTTAAACGACGAGGGAGGGTTATGAAGGAAATAAAATTACTCGGAGCGACGGAGATGGGCCAAAGAACACGAAATACGAGTTATTAGTTCATAGAGCGTTGCCATTTTGCGACCGTTCGTTTTCTTCGTTTCGCTTTTCCTTTTTCTCTTGTTGCATTCGTGCGCCGACGTTTTATTAGTCGCGTACTTTCAGATCGCGTTAAACGATTCTGACAGCGGCGATCGCGCGTGAAAATTTCGGTAACATATTATCGGCGAGTACTTTCGACAAGCCATCTCGCGGCCCACGATCCGAAAGTTTGACGCGTTTGAAGAGCGGTCGCGAACAAGTCGATCGAGCATATACGAAAGCGGTTGGATAATTAAGAAACCGGACCGACGCGAGCCGATGTGTTCGTCACGACTTTATTGCCGTCATAACTCTATCACGGGTTCGCCTTCTCGTCGTTCTGTCACAATCCAGGGACCGATAAACTTTTTTTTACGCACCCTTCGAATTTATGAGAGCATTCGATCGCCGATGCTCTATTTTAAACGCTCCGAGAATGCGAAAGGAACGGTGACGAAATTGAGTCGTGAAAAATCTCCAGTCCTTTGAACCCCGTTCGTCGATCGCACTCATTTACTTACCAAATTTCTTGCATTTTAACGAAAGAAAATTGATATGACACACGAATAGAAGTTAAAAAACAAAGTATCTTCGGAAAAATATTTTCCAGCAAATGTTTTTATGAAACAGCAGGTATTCGAAACGACATAGTCGTAAAACGAAGACATCGTCCTCGATTTTTACGGCAGCAGGACGAAGCATAAAAGTTGTGCGGCTCCGAAGTACTACTTGGTCCGCCCCTTTTGCCACCGTTTCCCGCCCAGCAGAAGGTCCGTAGGGCATTAGGGCATCGACGTCGCTCGCAATTGGTCTCGGGTGGTGCGTGCCAATAACATCGCGACGAACTATCGAAATTTACAAAGCTTGGTTACACGGAATGAAAGGGACCAAGGAGTAAACCGCATCTCGTTCCGTAATAATACCGTGACCGAAAAAAATGAAAACGGCGTACTCCCGGACTAAAGAGAGGCGCGCAAACGAGGCTACGACCGCAAATCCGTAACGAGCGGTATTCAAGAAAACAGCGAAACGACGCTTTGTACAAAGTGCACCGCGACGCACGGTGATCTCTAGAAGATCGCGGACAATGCATGCCAGATGGCAACGCGCACCTTTTCATGCGGTGCATCGGCCTCGAGTGCTCTCGAGTTACTAAGTAGCCAGCTTGTACGCTCATTATCTATCCCAGCTTTTTTGTAACTCGAAGCTGGTCCTGACGTTAGGCACCGCAGAGGATCGCATGCGAAAGGGTGTACGCCAGGATCCAGCCCTTATGCGGCGCGCGTTAAACAACGACGCCTTGGTAAATTGCATAAGCCTGTTCCGTTAGCCTAGCTAATTCGTCCGGCCTTTGGTCGCTGGATTTCATACATCGTGGCGCAACGTATAATTGGCCGTGCATCGTACAGTCTGATAATCCCTACGGCCGTTTTAATGCCGGTAAATGCTTGTTAAACGTGGATTTAAACGCGGATTTCGTTGCGCTTTGCCACTACGCGAGAATCATTTGCTGCTCTCCTGCGCAAAGACGAGATCAATTTTACGATACGCGAGTCGTTCGATGATCGATCAACGGACGTACTTGGAGCTCGATTTCGTTCGCGTCGCGGAGACCTTGTGGTATCCT